TGGATGGATGGATGGATGGATGGATGGATGGATGGATGGATGGATGGTGCCATGCCGCCTAAGCAAAATGAAGTTGTTTTGACCATTAAATAAATGCATAATAAATGCATAGGGTCTGTGACGCATAATAAATGTGACTTATATGTTTCTTTTTTCTTCTTCATGATACTTTTTTGACTGATGCGACTTATATGTCGGAAAATACGGTACATGGGACAGTTTATCCTTCACAATCACAGGCAGTAAATGGAACAGATTATAATGTCTAAACCTACTTCATGTAGAACAGATGACGAATATGAATGCATGAAACACATTTCCTCGATAATAGCTCAAGTTTTAATCATTTGAAAACTTAAAATTTTAAATGATTGATTTCAGCCTTTAGAAATTCTGATACCAACATTCAGCAATACACAGTAACACACTTCAGTACAGATAGGACCTGATGAAGCCTCAAATGATGCAGCAGCATCACTCTGCCACAAATCTTTCAGCTCCAACACCTTCATTTGACCCTGAACATGTACTTTTTCTTTGCTTTTACAAACACCATTTACACCTCGTTTACCACCAAGAGACAATAGTTTAGGTTGGGTTTTTTTTATTATTAGGAGCTTGTTAAGCTGTGCCTGCTTGAATCGCCTGTGGTCCTGAGCTTTACAAGCTGCCTGATGGCCTGGAAGTTATCGTTTCTGTTGCCGTTTTATTTCCGTGCGGCGGTGCAAGATTGCTTTTCCATTTCTCATCTTCCTACAGTTCAAATAGCCTCCAGGAGAGTCTGAGCTCCGAGTGCAAGTTCCATATAAAGTTCTGAGGCTCCAGGGAACGGGCTCCGTTGTGCTATTCTTCATTGTTGGGCCGTTTTCATTTAAATATGGCATACAGTGGAAGATATACCCTTATAATGAACTTAAAGTAAATCCATGATTCTCACAGTGCTGATTGTGAAATAACTAGATGTGAAGGTCTTTATAGCTCCGGTTTATTACTCCTTGAAAATTACATTGTGTAAAGCCATCTTGAGATGATAAGAGATTGAACTCCGTTTAAGAGGTGGGAGATCTGATTAAAACAAAGTGAGACTCAAGAAATGGACGGCAGGCAAAGTAGGGGAGCAAAGGAACAAAGCAGTATGTGGATTTAACTAAAGGCCTGACACTAGGGCACATATGTCAAACTCAAGATCACGGGGGCCAAATCTGGCCCTCGCTGACATCTGGCCCCAAAGATGATATGTTAAACATAAAATACTTTTATCACTTGAATTTTTCCAGTAATCTTTGATTATGATGCACAAAGTGCAGCAGAGAACATCAAAT